CCAGACAACTTTGAAGGTGCAGGGGTTACTCACACTTTCCTCTACCGCACGTGACCTGCCGATTGGCTATCTGCGACATACTCATTTGTACTGCTGGACGGACTGAAGCGGGGGGGGGGGGGGGCAGATTTAGGAAACTTGCTCATAGTTTCAACTGCCGTGCCGAGAGATCGAACCTGGTGCCCTTTGGATTGCAAGTCCATTGTTCTAATCGTTACATGTGTGGCTCATTAGAAATATAATATATCCTCATGCTGAACGGCTATTGACTAATATGCAACGGTCTTGCAAACAAACACAAACCCCCCGTCAACAGTACCCTCCCAACTCCCGCCAGTGGGCCCCAAATTACGAATCCGGCGGTCCCACGTGGCCACACGTGGGCCCACACAACGTGCTTGACGGTTACCCCAGCTTGTCCGTAAAACTATTTTCTAAAGCTAAATTAATCCCAAACACCAACGTTAGCCCATTCCCTAAACACAAAATTACACTTTTTTTTACTAATCCTGTCATTCGCCGTAATATCATTTACGGTTCACCATTTACTGAACGTGAATGATCGTAATTATCCTAATCCCGAATTTTAAATCCTTTCGTCATCCCCATTAATTACATCCAACGCCTACATAATCCGAGCATTAGCACCAGACACTCACAGGAGAGTGTATCAGTGTTTTTGTGGTCAGTGAGTGTGCACTGGGGCGTGTATGTGTTCTTTTTGCATTCCATACATCGTGCGCTTTCTTGCATCATCCGCCGCTGTACGTGTGCGTGTGTGTGATATTGAGTGTATCATTGAGAATGCATGTCTGGCTGGGTGGAGCCGTTGTTACAGCAATTGTCTACCAGCCGTCATAAAGTCTTAAGTTCAAATTCCTCATGGGGGTCAACTCTAATTTGTTACCTTACAGGGGTGAGAAAAAAGTCAAATAGATGTTTTTTTAATGAAAAGATTGATGCCTGCCATGGTAATGTTTTCCACTACTGGTTTAATGTTACCAGCAAAGGTTATTTGAGGAGGTGTATACTTTCACGTACAGTGTATTATTGTTTATGTATCCAGTATTTGATGTATACATCAATTAAGAAGAGCTGCTCGATTGTTATTGTACCGCGCTACAAACCCGTAAACCTGAATTCGACTCCTGGCCATGGCTAGTACTTGTGGCGAGTGATATCAGAACTGTTTCTGGGCCTCCCCTAGGTCGTCTCAACCTCAAATGATCACCTGGTGCATCTTGTAGATATAAAGACAAAGGTGGCCAGGCATGGCCGCTGACAACACCCCCCCACCCCTCATCCCATGCGTGGTCTTATAAAGTGCTCGGAGCACTTGCCCCAACATTCTACATGGTGGATTTTTGTTTCTCTGTTTTGTGTTTGTGTTCAGTGCATTACCCTGGTGTGGGGGACCAAAGGTCCTCGGTTAAATTTTCGTACGGCGGCGAGATGGCCTGCAAACAATATTTACCCCCTTCAGCCGAACTAATCGGGGTTTAGAAGGGAGAATCTTTATTTATTTTTTGACCTGGCAACGACAATGTGTTTCTGATTTTAGTGGGAAAGGGTTCGCGGAGTGACAGAAGTGACGGGAAGGTAACGTGTGGTCCACTGAGCTATTTGTGTAAACCCCCGAATTTAGCCCACAGTTGGTTAAAAACACCAAAAACAAATACCCCATCCGTGTCGTAGCGTGTACGTCTTGTGTGTGTGTGTGGGGTGGGATAGTCCCCATGACCCCACCGGCCAGGAGGCCTCCCCTCTTGCTCGATAACATCTCTTAGAAGAAAGTGGATGAGATAACCGTGTGTTTATGTTTTGTCCTGCTGGGAACAAAGCCTCTCCTGTGTGTGTGTGTTGAGAGGTTTGTTAAGTCTGAGTTGTGTGCGCATGCTGTCTGGTCTCGCCAGGGTCTACCGTTGCTCTTGTCATCTGACACAGCTGGAATTATGAGCTGATTTATTGACCAAACATAGCGGACTAGTCAATTGTGAGATGGCTCTGGTTTATGGTACGACAATATCTTGTGTCCAGACTCAGGGTCCTGTCTGTTAGTCTAAGTGACGTGTAAGAAATCATGACTGTAATGCTTTGGCGGCTACATTGAGGCTCTAATAAGGTGCATTCATGCTCCCTCCGCCCCCACCACTCGGGCGCTGACCAGAATAGTGAAGTATGGTCACATAACACCCACAACTAGTACGGCGTGGCGAGGCCCTCATTCAGCAGTGGGTTAACAAAGGGCTGTATGTGAACATTATTGTTGTTATTACAACCACTATTATTAGCGTCACTATTATTATATAAAGTGGTCGGGGAGGATGGCATCTAGTGTTCCTGAGTTTGTTATTTTACTCTCCCAGTTAAAGTTTACAGTTAGATAAACGTTTGGAGGCCAGATGACTGCGGGCTCGTGAGAGATTAAACACAGACAGGAGGAGGGTAGTTTGAGAGGTACAGCAAACACGAGATAAAGAACACAATGGCACAGTCAGAGGAATAACAGCACGAGAAGGAAATTCAAAGTGATACTGGACTGGAATGCCAGGTATACAAACACAGACGAATTACACAGGTGACTCGGGACAGATGACAATCACGACACTGAGAAAGATAAAGGTGCAGCCCTGCAAGTGTAACTGCTTACCATGTTTTACAGCGCCGTAGAAGCTGTCGTTAGTATTCGTGATCGCTTGCCTTCGACTCGAGGAAGCTCAGGGTACTGTATTTGGCTCGCTGCTTCCACATTGGCCAGACGTTCTTGGGAGTTATTTTGAAGAGGCAAAGCAACTTAAAAATATATTCTGGAGCCAGAGTGAGTCAAAGATGTTGAGTAGAGAGGGCGTGGATTTGAGGTTCGAGGAGAGGGTGGGGGGAGAGAGAGAGAAGGGGGGGGGGACTTCTGGGGAAATTGACTTAGGTGATGAGTAGGGCTGGGGGTGTTAGTTGGGGATGTTGGACGGCGAGCACGAGGACTGGGGGCTGCTTTGCAGTTGGGAGGCGGCCGCCCTCCAAGCAACAACGGAGGGCAAATGAGCGGACGCTCACAACAACGTGCGGAGCGCCCTGCGGCTAAAACGCAGATAGTTGGCACGGTGGGGGAAGCACAGTTGACGGCATCTGCCAAGTCATCTCAGGTCACTTAACCCATGGCACCTGGGTCTCTTCCGATCACACCCCAGCGTCACGCAAGGTTTTTTTTTAAATCCCAGAAAGTAACGCGCTTCCCTTGAAGGGCTGCTTTTTCTTCTGTAATCAATTTCGAGAACCCCCCCCCCTCCCCGTGCCACCACGACCGACTCGGCACGCACGCAAATCGTGTTACGCAATGACCGAACGCAGCTCTGGGTTTTTAGATCGCCCGTGCGTTCTCTCTCTCTCTCTGCCTCTCCCTCCTCCCTCCCAACAAACACAAACGTGGTTCGCATTACAGTCGCTGTACGGCTTTGAGCTAATTTGCAGGCCACGGTGAAGAACCGATATTGACAGGAGGCACGCGCGCGTGTGTGTGTGGATATAAATGTGTGCGTGTGTGTGCGCCTGTGTGTGTGTTTGTTTAGGGTGCAATTGGGGGGGGGGGAGTGGAGGTGCAGCGGTTAGCGCGCTGTGCTACGAACCTGGCTCCCCCCCCCCCCGGTTCGATTCCCGTTCACGGCCGGGCGTGGTGCTGGCCACCCACCCACCCCCTTCGTGTGCCGTGCCGGCCTTCATAGGTGCTCGCCAACAACACTTGCCCCAAAAGTCTGTTGAGGCTATACGGGGTGTCTCTGTCTTTGGTGTGTGCATGTGTGTATGCAGAGCTGTGTGGGTGTACAAAGGTGGGTGGGGGTGTTGTGTGTGTGTGTTTAAAAGGTTCATTATATAGAGTGGAGTGTTTAGTGTGTGGAGGGAGTCTAGAGTTGTGTGTTTAACGTTCATGTTGGTGGTTTAGAATTTGGCGTGTACATCATGGCATGCAGGTGTGTTTGAACAGTTACGGTATAAACGGTGAATCTGTCTCTTTTGCGAATATGTACTCTGCTGTATAGTATTGCAAATTGTTTGATGGTATCAGAGCAGTGTGTATATTTGAAAGTGTGTGATGTCTCGAGTTTAGCGGGACGTGTATGCCTCTACGTGTAAGCTTGTATGTTTATGTTTGTGCACATATTACGGGGATGTATGTTTGGGCTGTATATGTGTGTGCACGGGGCGATATGATGAAGATGCGATTAGTACGATATCCTACCCTTTAGTATATTGGACCCCGCATGAGTGCGACGAATGCGTGGAAGAAGAAGACTGTCCTACGTATGTTCTGTGAACTTGGCGTAGTTGAACGGTTGCGAACTTTGGCGGGCTATATTTTCACGTTATATGTTCGCGGTATAATTTCACGGGTACATTTTCACGTCCTTCGTATGTTCTGTGAGCTTGGCGTAGTTGAATGGTTACTAAATTTGGCGGACTATATTTTCACGTTATCGCGTGGTTTTCTCCCCCCCCCCCCCCCCCCCCCCAGAAAAAATGCCAACTTCGCTGTAGACAATTATTTTCTGCCGTACCAACTCATAACTTTCAAACAACGTGCAAAAACGTGCGAAACTGACAAGCGTGTAATCTCCCCGCTCTCTAACGTGAAGGGTTGCACTAGCCTGCGCGATGTCCCAACGGGCACCTCGTCTCGTGGACACCTGTGAAAAAGAGCTTCAAGGCTCGTCGGATTCCTTCCAGTCTAAATAAAGATTCCGATTCTGATGGTAAAACTGTTATCACGGGATCCGTGCAAAAGAGACACCTCTCAATGCGCCATCTCAACTGGATGAAAGCAAAGTCGCGTAGCCCGCGTCAATTTACAACGTCCGTGGTTGGAAATAAAATAAAACATAGACACGCAACAGCGCCGGATTTACAAACTTCAATCCCACCCAACCCCACACCCGATGTTCGGTCACACTAAACAAGTTCGGAACGTGTGTGCGTGTGGACGTGCGTGCGCACTCGTGTGTCAATTGCAGGATTACATGCAGGGCCAACAGAGGCGCGCTGGGACGTCTTACGACCAGAGCCGTTAAGAGCGTGCGGATTTAAACGGAACGTCCGGGGGGGAGGGTCACGCTTGCTTCCTCGCGCCGCTCACGAAGGGCCTAAGCGGCAGGGGAGGAGGTCGCCGGGACCCCGTCGCTCGGCATCGCGGCGCGCTGGAGTTCCGCCGCGCTGGGGCGCCGTTTGGGATGGCCGGTTTGGACTGCCCCACTCCTCCGGTGCGCACCCTCGAGGACCTCACTCTGGACTCGGGCTACGGTGGCACGGGCGGCTCGTGCAGATCCCTTAGCTTCTCCTCGCTGCAGCGCGGCTCGCTTACCCACACGGCCCGCGGCGCCGGCGCCGGCAGCCCCGGGAACGGCGGCGGCGGCACCGGCGGTAGCGCCGGGAAAATCGGCGGCGGGGGTGGTGGTGGCGGTGTCGCCCGTGGCGGTGGCGTAGGAATAAGTGGCGGCGACGGCGGCGGCGGTGGCGGCGGCGCTGGCGGCGACGGCCCGGGTGTCGTCAGGGGCGTGGGAGGAGGAGGAGGAGGAGACGGCTCGGCCGGGTCGCGCAGCGGCCACGGCAGCTGCGACACGGTGAACACGGCGCTCGCCGAGGAGGGCGAAGGCGCGGCGGGCCCCGCGGGGAACTGGACTCGCCTGCCCGGCTTGGAGGAGGAGGATGCCCCGTGGAACGTGCGCGACCTCGCGGTGACGCTGGCCCAGGGCAGGGCCCGCGAGGCCGTGGCGGCCGGGCGGGTTCCGCAGGACGTGGTGGCCCACCTGTCGTCGATGGCCGGCGTGGCGCTGGTGCGGCTGGCTCGCGAGGCCCAGAGGCTCAGCCTCGTCTATGCCAGGTGAGCGCCTTCGGGTGCTTTTGCCCGCATATTGGTTTTATTTGCATCGCTTAGGTCGCCCGTTGTGCGTCGATGTATAATGTGTAAATAGTGCAAAAGTTGTTGACATGCTGTTTTGCCTTTCATCAAGTTGTTATAATGACACTGTTTGCAACGGATAATGTTATTGTCGTTGAGGTGCGTTGAGCTGGAGGCATGGGGAGTGTGTGTCACATTACCACATTACCATTGCTCTCGCTTACTCACGGTTTGTATTTGTATTCATGTCTTCCTGTCAGTTCGCATGCGTGTTGTCAGCCTGACATATCTGTGTCTGCGTGCCTCGGTATCAGTCTGTCTGTGTGCATGCCTGTGGGGAGCCGTTGCGTAGTGGTTAGCGCACTGTGCCACAAACCTGGAATACCCGAGTGCGATTCCAGCTCGCGACCAACATAGGCGTCGATGATCTGAACCGGTCCTGGACGTCCCTTAGGTCGACCCAGCCATGAATGAGTGCCTGGTGTGGTGCTGGCCACCCACCCCTCCGTGTGCCGTGCCAGCACTTCATAGGCTGGTACGGCCTATGAAAAGGATTAGCACGGTTGGCTACGCATAGGTGCGAAAGAAGTTCTACATACGCAGGTGTTCGCTAACAGCACTTGCACAAATAATCTGGTGTAGGCTATACGGGGGACATTTGTCTTTGCCCGTCCAATACGTGCGTGTAAACGATTCGCCCGCCCTTTTCGCAATTTTGACGAAACCGTTACGGTTTTGGTCAAAAAAAATTTCAATTCAAATCTCTCCCCCCCCCCCCCCCCATAAAAAAAAACCCGCCACGAACACGAACCCATTAAACCCCCATGTTGACCTCCTTCCTTCCCGCAGGTGCACGCGGCACGAGGTGGAGAGCGCGGCGCGCGTCGTGCTGTCCCGCTCGCTGGCCGACGCGTGCCTGGCCGGGGCGGCCCGCGCCCTCTCGCTCTACGGCCTGAGCGGCGGCGAGCGCGGCTGGCGCGGCAAGGCGGAGCGCTGCGGCCTCTCGCTGCCCGTGGGGCGGCTCCACCGCTGGATGGCGGAGGCGCGCGTGGCGGCGCGCGTGCACGAGCACGCGGCCATCGCGCTCGCCGCCTGCGTCGAGGCCCTGGTGGACGAGGTGGCGGTGCGGGCGCTGGCCGCTTGCGCCGTCGGGGACGATGACGACGACGAGGAGGCGGCGGCGGTGGAGACGGCTGTGGGCCAGGACGGGGTGCACGAGAAGAAAGAGGAGGTACGTGTCGATGAGTTCCCCCGTCGTCGCTGCGACGTGATTGGCTCGAGCTGCGTTGGCTTCCGGTTGCCGAACGAATGCACTCGTTGCACGCAAAGTGCTCGCCGCAAACGAACCACGATACCTTGCCGCTCACAGCCCACACAAGTGACGATTATCTGAACAAGGTCCTGGGCCTCCCCCAGGTCGACTTGGCCTCAAATGAGTACCTGGTGCAGTATACAAATATTGCTACTCAGGAGACAAAGGCAGCCGGGCGTGGTTGCTGGCCACCCACCCCCTCAGCTGCCGTGCCGGCCTTCATAGGTGCTCGCTAACAGCACTTGCCCAAACAGTCTGTTCAGGCTATATGGGGGGAATCTTTGTTTTTTTTGGGTGTCTGTGTGCCACACGGATAGGTCTCAGATTAGATCATCCTCGCTCATGGGTGTGGGTCTTCACCTTGGCATCGTTTGCTCACCAGCGGAATTCGCACACCCTGTGCTTCCTTTCTTGGGATTGGCTCGCGTCCGTGCGGTGCATCTGGGCGATGTGCAGAGGGAAAACGTTTAACTTATTTGACCTTCTGCTCGCGCCTTTTGCTCTGTTATCACCGGCAAATGTAAGAATATCTTTCACAGCGGCGCTGTACGCATTTCGTCAGCTGTCGACGTCATCCTTTGAGAAAATTCCCTCGAATGTGGCCGATATCGTAACGCCCCGGAAGCTAAGCAGGGCTCAGCCTGGATTAGCCTGACCTGTCCTTGGAAGGGCAACTGCCATGCATAACAGGTGTTATAGGCTGCTGCGGGGCTTTTGTTGTGCGCTGGAGAGAGCAGTGAAAAAACATCCATTGTTGTACTGTACTTCTATGCGAAACTATGCTCCCTGCTTGAACCAGCATGGTGAACTATGGTCATAACCCCCCCCCCCCCCCCCCCCCACATATGACTGACATAGCACAGAGGCCCTCATCCAGCAAAGGGTTACAGGGCTGTGCGTGTACACGTTTTCATTATTACTGTTATTGTCATTGTTCCTAGTACGGTATTATATAAACACGATAAGGCACGATGGCACCTAGCGTTCCCCCAGTCTGTTATTCATTCTACACAAAGTGTGGGGAAGCCCTCATCCAGCAGTGGATTGACGAAGGGCTTTACACGTACACGGAGGACTTACTCTAAAACGTCCCCGCCGTGTTAAACCCCCCCCCCCCACAACCCCACCCCGCGATTACCGTCGAATGATTCTCGCGACGACGATGACGATGGCGATGATCGTTCAAGGTTTTGTTTTGTTCGTCGGCGCAAACCATTTCAGCTGCCCGCCCACCATCACCACCGCCGCTACAACCACAGCTACCACCGTGGAGGAGGAGGAGGAGGAGGGGGATCTGGGTCTGGAGGATCGGCCCACCGGCGTCGCCGTGGTAGGCCGCTATGCCCCGAGGCGCTGGACGCAGCTGTGGGAAACGACCCGGAGCTCTACGGACTCCTCCAGCCGTACGAGCATCTGATCTGCGGGAGGAACGCACACGGTGAGTCGCTCCGGAGGGAGCCGTGGGGCGGGGGCGGGGGGCGCCACGGTGGTGAGATGTTAACTGCCTCGCCTGGTATGCGGGAGGTTGTGGGTTCGATCCCAATCGCGTACCGATACCCTGCTGCATATTTGGAGTTTGTGGTGTCTTTCTCTCTTTATTCCTCCGTTTTTTTCCCTTCCACATTTGTAAATGTGCGTTTAGAGTATTGGGCTGCTATGAATTTCCACGTGACGATAAGCCACTTTTTTGAGCTGTCGTATGTGGCCAGGTCACTTCTGAACTGAAAAAGTTACTTTAAAAAGTTTTTTAGTTTATCACCAGCTGCATGCTGGTCTCCTCTGTGTGTGTTTGTGTGTGACTATGTTCGCAGATTTAGCGTTTCCCCCCCCCTTCCCCCGCGCATGACACGCGTAGCTTTCGTCCGGGCACTCCGGCTTTCGCCCAAAGGAACAGATGATGTTCCATTTGCACGCAACAATAAATAGTTGATTGTCAGACTCAAGACTCGTTGCATGCCTCGTGAGCGTTAGCATCGATTGATTAATCAATCATTCGTTACTCAACTATTGTCTGTTGTGTATGCATGTGTATGTACGTATCTGGTCATTCCGTCCGTCTGTTGGGTTCTGTCGGCGTATTTCCTTGTTTATCCGTGCGTCTGGCTGTGATTTTGAGCCTTCGTTTCCTCTTGCTCCATTCATCCCAATATCGATGGCCCCTGCCGTCACCTCTCGCGTCTCAAGACACAATGGCAGGAAAGTTCACCTCGCCAACTGCGGAGATAACAACCGCAGAGCGGAGGGAGCAAACCTGAAGCATTACGAAAAACACATTGCGGTTGTGTATGTTACGAAAAACACATTACAAAAAAACAATGAGTGCTTTTCATTGTCGTCTTGCACACAGCTTAGAAGAATAACAACTTATCCACGATTGAAGCCATGCAAATAACAGCTTCAGGCGAGGCCGAATACATTTCCTCCTCCGCCGCCGCCGCCGCTGCTAGAGCTGCTGTCTCGAGTTTCAATTTGTGAAGTTGGCATTGCTTCATGGCGTACCCGGCGGTGTGTTGAGAACTCAGATGTTCCTGTTCGGTTTTCCCACTCGCGGAGGCTGTGGCCAGATCCGACGTGGGTCGTGCCGGGTGCCGGGTGCCGGGTGCCGGGTGCGCTTCACCGTTTTCGGGGGGGGGGGGTGGTGGAGGTCAGCTTGGGAGTTCTCGTGCAAATGTTGATGTCGGTCCCTGCGGTGTGGCTGCTGCTGCTGCTGCTGCTGCCGCTTCTGCCTTCCCACTCGTCTGTGGGTTCCTCCTCGCTCCTCTCAGCCGTACTCTTTTTTTTTACGATCAGTGGAAACAAGAAGATGCTCGGTGTAGTCGGCACTTTGCTTCATTCATCATTTCGTAATTTTTTTTTTTAACTTTGCTTTATGTAAACCCCCACCTCTCGCTCACTCGCTTGCTCACTCTCTCGCTCACTCTCTCGCTCACTCTCTCGCTCACTCTCTCGCTCTCTCTCTCGCTCACTCTCTCGGTCACTCTCTCGCTCACTCTCTCGCTCTCTCTTTCGCTCTCTCTCGTTCTGCACGCAGCCCTTCTCGCAGTCCAACGGCCTCCGACGGGTAGCTCATATCAGCATGCAGAGCTCCCCGTCATCTGCCACCGAGCACACGGCCGTTCTCTCTCTCGCCACCAGAGCGAGCGAATACCGTGCAGCGTGTTACAAGTTAAAACGTCTATTATTATTATTATTCAAGGACAGCACAGTGGTGCAAGATACAACAAGGCACAAAGGGAATGGGATCGGGGTGGGGGGGTGCGGGGGAGGGCTATGGGAGAGCGGAGAAAATCATTTTAGAGAGGGCGGAAAAAAGAGGAGAAAAGGTGGACAGGGATCTATGGAGAGAGGTGGTTATATGGAGAGACATGCTGATAGATTTTGGAGAGAATAAGATACAGAGAGGTGTGTCCATCATCTTACTGGGAAGGTAAATCGGGGGTGGGTGAGGTGTAAATAGAGAGAATTGGCGGTCAGGCTTAGAACATCAAACACTTCGGGACCTTTCTTGATAACAAGCAAAGTGGCTAATGTCACAAGCCGCCCATCGCCGTCATGCTGGGGGGCACTCTCGTGGCACGGTCATTACGAGCTCCCTGAGCTGACTGGGCGTGTGAGTGACCTGTCCCCCACAATGCACCGAGCAAGTGTCAGGGGGTGAGTGTGGTTCCAGCTTCACGTTCTGGGTCCACATTCTTCCCTGCGCAGTGTTTATTGCTTGCCTGCCTGTCGAGTTCTTTATTCATTTTTTTGTTTCTAATTATACAGTTGTGTTGTTTATTTATTCAAATGACGGGGGAGTCGGGGGGTGGGGTGCAGTGGCCATTGCATCATGCTATGTACCCGGCCAACTGATTTGATTCCTGGCTACTGCTAACATCGTGGCTAACATAGTGGCGTAGTGTTATATGAACTCATCCTGCAACTGTTGGCCCTTCGCTAAATCGCCCCAAACAGTGCGAGGAATTACGGCCAAAAAAACCCCTCTTACGATCGACTCGCAATGGGGAGGCCTTCATCCAGCAGTGGATTGACAAAGCACTGTAAATTCTTCCCATGGGGTATTTATTCCTGATTAGTTTACAAGGGTTTTGCTCCCGCCATAGGAATGTGGAACTGTTACCTCTGGCTCAGGGCTGTCAGCAGCAGATGGACACCACCTCAGTGCGCAATCGAGCCGGAAATCACTTGGGCTTTGAGCTACGTGAGCCGGGTAGGCTGATCTTGTGAGTTATTGTAAATGTCTCAAGCTGTCTATCTGTTCCCCTTGATGTTCCTTTGTTCTTTGTGTGCTATCTCAACATTTCTGCTTCCAATTCTATTCTGGTTTTTTTTCTCCCTCTCTCTTTCTCTCCAAAAACCACGATGCTGGCCGCACATTCCAGCTCCGTATTTCGGATCTTTAATTTTTTTTTCTCTGTATCCAAAGAAATGTCGACTTCCCATTTCAGCCTTCTGGCTTCCCGCGGCCAAGGTGGCCCCCGCGTACTCCCGATATGAACCCACCGAGCTTGTTTCTTTCCCCCCCCTGCCCCCCCCCGTGGCGTTACATCAAAGGCCGTGCGGTGCCCTGCACGTGACGGAGAGGTGTGAGATATCGACGGCATTCAGTTGCACACTGCTGAATGCCTGCATGCAAGTCACACCAGCTGTGTTGGAAGGAGTAAATCTGGGGGGGGGGGGGGGGGGAGAGTGTTCAAAGATTCAATAAGTGTGTTGAGATTGTACATATGTGTCGTACGTTGAACTTCTTTCGCACCATACGTCGCCAACCGTTGTGGGGGGGCAGGGGGGGGGGAACAAACTAAACATAAAAAGCAGTTTTGAAGAAAGTGAGTTTTCAATCTAGATTTTGAAAGTGCATAGCTCCGGTGGCTTCGTGATATCGAGATTTGTGGGAGATGTGAAATAAGATGCGTTGCTCTCTTTATATTTTCTCCCCTTTATTCCACTGGGGATTTTGCTATAAAAGAATCGCTCCTCTATATTATGAAGCCACAATTCCGTTACGCATTTCTTTCATGTTCTGATTCTATTTGGCTCCGAACTTCCCCTGTGTTTTCGGCGCAACTGGTTCACTTTACGATCCGCCGAACATTTCGCCTTCATTGTGCGAATCAAACTTCCTCACTACTAACATTCATACCGTAAGTCCTATTTGTATAACACGCGTGGCGTTCGTGCAGCGAGTCTCAAATGAGTGTCTGGTCTCGCTAGTCTCTGTCAACAGCCTTGAGCCAGGAGTGCAAACTCCACATTCCCATGACAAGAACCGGTTGATCCTTAGAACAACGTTTGTCCACTTTCTCAAGTGGTAATGCAGAACGTGGGTGAGTTTATTCGTGCTTGCACATCACGGACCTGACACAGTGAACAGACCCAAAATAAGCCCACGGGTATGTAAGTCAGAACCGCAGCATGCCGGGAGTACTGTCGTTAATCGACTGCAGTGGTTTGCGTTCGATTGCCATCCGCGCTGTCGACTCCGCCGCTCCTGTACCTACGTCGAGCGTACTTTTTCCTCTGGCCCTGGCCGTGTAAAACAAACACGCGCGACGTAGTTCTGGACAGATTCTCACGATACGGCCACGTTTCGATGCTCTGAGAATTCAAATCGTATTGTGACCCCCCTCCCGCCCGCCCGCCCCACCCCACCCCACGATCGGGATTTGAACTCGCAGCCCGTAGATTACGATCGGCGGAACCCTCTAAACCTCGCCACAACCCGACCGTGCAACGGCTTCTCATCTCTCTGCCTCCGATATTCCTGCCTTGACGCTGCGACTCTACATTCCATCTCCTTCTGTGCTGTGCTCCCGAGATTTCAGTTCCACGTTGCTTTTCGCTTTAAGACCACCCCCCTCCTCCTCCCACCCGCCCACCTCCCCTGGTTCTGTTTGCGTCTATTTTCCTTGGCTGGGAGAACACTCGCCAGCCTTGTACGGCATCTCCTCCTCCTTTCCGTCTCCGCCACCACCAACCCACCACCACCACTGCCGCCGCCACGCGCGCAATTTGGTGTGCGTGGTAGCACCGTGGCAGCCAGTAGGCGAACTGTGCCGGCTTCGGGAGGGGAGCTGGATGTAAGCACGGGCCCTTGGGAGCAAGCTTACTAATCAAAGTAGTGTGGCGTCTATCTGATGTTGCCCTTTGCCTCCCCCTTCCCCACGAGTGTAATGCAAGGACGCGTTGCTTATATCAAACCTGTGCTTGTATAACAAACTAGAAAACGAGACATGTTCAACAATAACACTGTGGCCTTGAAAGGAACAATGTATAATAGGCAACGTTTTGGGCAAATGGCTCTTCTTCACACCATGTCTCAGGCGATGGTCCTTCTTGATAGCATAGCAGAGTTTAATGCGCTAAGAAGATGAAGAAGAGCCATTGCCCGAAACGTCAATCATTATTCAGTCTGGCTTCTTTAGATGACACACGCTG